GATGTTGTGTTGGAGATTCAAGCATTGTCTGACCATTAACATCAGTATCATCTTGAGCATATATAAATTGAGCAAAAGTGATATTATCATAAAGAATCTATAAACAATAATTTAATTAATTATAAGTAGGTTAAGAGAATTTGTTTAAATTTAAATGAATAGAAATTACCTCCATTAACACCATTGGTATGAGTATTCTTGATAAATTCTTCCTTAGTCATCTTTCGTCTCACGCTTTTATTATAAGCATCTGTATGAAGCATTAATAAAGAGAAAGCAAGAATATAAGGTGTATCTAATAAAACAAAATAAAAGAAAATAAATATGTTAGCGAAATAACACATTTATATTTTTATCAACAAATAATTTACCTGCAGAAGGAAATAAATCAGGATTTGATTCATGATATCTTTTCGCAAATGCTTCTATAACACGATCAATTTGTTGAGTTTCTTTTGGTAAATTGCAATCCATTAAAAGTTTCCTTATAATCAGAATATCAGAATTTAATAATATATTTAGTTATTTAAGTAACTAAATATTTATAAAAGTCATTTATGTTGTAAATGGGAATGGAATCATAATAGGTTCGGAATCCACTTAGATTAGAACGGAATAATTATACTAAAACTCCCAACCTAACCTTAAAAATTCCCACTTACGACATTTATAAACATTTATCTTCATAAAACTTATATACCTTAAGGCAAGATCAATAGGGACTTTTTCAAATTCAAAAGATTCCATATAAGCTTTAAGAGCATATTGATGAAAGGCATCGGCTCTATAAATTAAGAAAAGTAATATTGTTATCATTAGATCCATATTTACGAACAAAGTTACACATAAATTCTTTGACAGTTCAATCTACAATTTATATATACAATAAACAAAAACACACACTTTTGAGCTAATATAGTAACCAACTTTGATCTCGAAATACTATACATCATTCTTTCAAGATATTGTTTCGGAGTTTCCCTATCTGAATTAGCTTCAAATCCATTCAAATTCGTCATTGACTTTGTCGAAGAAATTTTATTTAAATTCTTAGTCACAGGCATAAAAGGAATGTTTAAAGTAGGTGCAGATCCCATGCGTTTAAGTTGACGTTTTCGGGGATGTTTTGTACAGGTAGTATCTTCACTAACAATCGCTGTCACGGAATTTCCTATAGCAGAACTCTTAGGCCTTGGGAAAGAATTCATACTAACTATAGTTGAACTTCTATTCCGACGAAATTTATTTTCCAAGGGTGAAGATATGGGAGGATTTATAGAAGAAGAAGAAGGAAGATTTGATAAAGTATGAGGAACAGATATTAAAGGTTCATCATGGTTTGATTGATTAATTTTTACAGGCAAAGAAGATTTAGTAGGAACTATATTAATAATTGGAGGACCAAGAATATTACTATCATTATTAATCGACTTCTTTACATCATTTACAGACGACGATTTTGCAGGAACAATATTAATTAGAGGGCGAGAATCATAAATATTATTATGGTATATATATGATGAATCATAATTTCCCTTCATTGGATCCTTAAAAGGAGACGTTGTAATTGGCTATAAGGTTGACGAATTATAAGAATTTGGGATATTATACATGTCTTCAGTAGCAGAAACGTTAGAAGAATTTTTACATTTGTCAGATTCAAGTGGATTAACATTTGGATTTCCGATATCGGAACTACTATCAGGGTTCTTAGAAGAAACTGTAGTAGTCGTAACTGTAGTAACGGTAGTTGTAGTGGTGGTTTTTGTAATTGTTGCAGCTTCAGTTGGTGTTGAAGGACTTAACGGCTTTGTTTCTTCAACTATCGATTCTTGTTTAGGAATATTTAAGGAGGTAGGAATTTTGGTGGTAGTAGTGGTCATTGTTTTCGCTGAAGGACAGTCAGGAGTTACAGCAGATTTTGCGGAAGTTGACTTTCGCCTATTTGATAAAAACATATTCGCAAATAATTATATGTATAAATCACCAAAATGAATGAATAACATGTGAATATTCGGAGAAAAAGAA